AGCCAGGATGGTCTCGATCTCCTGACCTTGTGATCCGCCCGTCTCGGCCTCCCAAAGTGCTGGGATTACAGGCGTGAGCCACCGCGCCCGGCCGCCTGGCTAATTTTTACATTTTTAGTAGAGATGGGGTTTCACCATGTTGGCCAGGTTGGTCTCGAACTCTTGACCTCAAGTCGATCCACCTGGCTCGGCCTCCCAAAGTGCTGGGATTACAGCCGTGAGCCACCGTGCTTGGCCTAATCAAGGCTTTAGATTTAACTTCCAGTTCACAGGCAACAAGTAGACAGAAACAAGTAAACACTACAAACATTCAGAGAAAATCCAGAATGTGAAAAACTGTTTAGGATGGCTGTTCCAGACTCTTCAGCTGGTCAATAGCATGGAAAAGAAAAAAATCAACTCACATATGAATCCAGTTTCCACATAAAAAAACTGGGAAAAGCAGATAATATTCTGTTAAAGACAGATGTGAGTAATAAGTATAAGGCAAAACAAAGTAATAACACAAAATACAGGAGAGATACTATAAAGAGGAGAGTGCAATTGAGAAGCAGATGGGGCTTCTAAGGTACTGGTCATGTTCTATTATCGCTAACCTAAGCAGAGAATACACAAGTTTTTGTTTTGTTTTGTTTTGTTTTTTTAGAGATAGAGTTTTGTTCTTGTTGCCCAGGCTGGAGTGCAATGGCATGATCTCAGCTCACCACAGCTCACCACAACCTCCGCCTCCCGGGTTCAAGCAATTCTCCTGCCTCAGGCTCCTGAGTAGCTGGGGTTATAGGCATGTGCCACTATGCCTGGCTAATTTTGTATTTTTAGTAGAAACAGGTTTCTCCATGTTGGTCAGGCTGGTCTCGAACTACTGACCTCAGGTGATCTGCCCGTCTCGGCCTCCTAAAGTGCTGGGATTACAGGCGTGAGCCACCGTGCCTGACCCCACAAGTGTTTTTAAGTTGTACTATATATGCACTCTCATATGCATATTTCACAAAACTTTTTTTTAGAGTTTACATAATGATGGTTTCGGCAAATATCCATGTATCCACACATCTTTTTTGTTTGTTTGTTTTTTGAGACGGAGTCTCACCCTGTTGCCCAGACTGGAGCGCAATGGTGCGATCTTGGCTCACTGTAACCTCCGCCTCCCGGGTTCAAGCAATTCTTCTGCCTCAGCCTCCCAAGTAGCTGGAATTACAGGCATGTCCCACCACGCCCGGCTAATTTTTTCTTTTGTATCTTTAGTAGAGATGAGGTTTCACCATGTTGGCCAAGCTAGTCTCTAACTCCTGACCTTGTGGTCCACCTGCCTTGGCCTCCCAAAGTGCTGGGATTACAGGCATAAGCCACTGCGCCCAGCCTCCACCCATCTTTTTTTTTTTTTTTT